AAGTCGAAAATTGCACAGTCCAACCTCTCTGCCAACCTGGTGTCGGTCATGCAAGCAGGCGCTATCGTTGGTGCACTGGCCGCCAATCCATTGGCCGACAAATGGGGTCGGAAGATTACCATTTATGTTGTTGCAACCTTCGCTTTCATTGGGGGTCTCCTCCAGGCTCTATCGTACGGCCATTTATCCTGCTTCTACATTGGACGGTAAGTGGAACAATAGGAGGCCTTGAGTGGTTATGGGAATTGACAGTATCAGGTTCGTCGAAGGACTGGGTCTAGGCGGAGCCACCATGGTCGCACCCACCTATGTTGCTGAGAACGCTCCCCGCGGTATTCGAGGTCTGCTGGTCGGGTTCTATCAGCTTTTCGAAACGATGGGTGCTATGGTTGCCTTTTTCATCAACTACGGCAGTCTGCTCCACTTGAAAGGCCATGCTACATGGATCGTCCCGTTGTCGATGCAGTCCCTGCCCCCGTTCCTCCTCTTTGTTTCCATCTTGTTTTGTCCCGAAAGTCCTCGATGGCTCGCTTCTCAAGACAATTGGGACGATGCCTCCAGAATTCTTGCGAAAGTTCGAAACCTGCCGCCCACACACCCCTACGTGCAAGCCGAACTTCTCGAAATGCAAACACAGCTGGAAGCTGAGAGAGGCCGCGCTGGCGGTAACAGTTACTGGGCGTTGACAAAAGAGGCGTGGACAATTCCTGGAAATCGCAAACGAGCGATCATGGCGATCGCGCTGATGACGGCTCAACAATGGACTGGAACCAATGCCATCGTGGGTGTTTTGCATCTTCCAGCGCGAGGTGGTCCAGCTGACATGATTACAGAATTACTACGCGCCGACTATCTTTACCGATCTCGGCGTTACCGGAAACACACAGAGCCTGTTCGCTACTGGTGTCTACGGCATCGTGAAGATGGGTTCCTGTGCTATCTTCATCACCTTCCTTGCCGACACTCTCGGGCGCAGATGGTCGTTGGTCTGGACTGGGCTGTTCATGTGGTTCTGCATGTTCTATCTGGGCTTTTTCGTCCGATTCGACGCCCCCAAGCAAGGTGCTCCTATATCTGGTGCTGGGTACGCTGCATTAGTCATGGTGTATCTCTATGCAGCAGCCTTCCAATTTGGCTGGGGCCCTGTTTGTTGTATGTAATCTACCCATCATATGCCAGGTGATGCTAACTGTGTCGGCAGGGATCTATTCATCTGAAATCAGCACTCAAAGGCTCCGAGGCCTGATTGTGTCATACGCTGCCGCGACACAATGGGTTTTCAACCTGGCTGTTGCTCGAGCTACACCCGTCATGCTGGATACTGTGGGCGCAGGCGGCTATGGTACATACTTTATATACGGCTGCTTCTGCTTCACCATCGCCATCGGAGCCTACTTCCTGGTGCCTGAGACCAAGGGGGTAAGTGGAAACCTTCCAGCGATATCATTTCTTAGCTGGCTGGGTGCTAAAATTCTGATCAGATTTCCTTGGAACGAATGGACGAACTGTTCGGAATGACCGATTTTAGTGGAATTGAGGATGTCGGAGTGGCTTCGCACAAACACGATGTCGAGGCCATCCACGTCGAGGTCAAGTGAGGCAGCGACAGGGACGGGTCGCAACGCAGCGGTCGTCTATCGACCTAACAGCAACGTGGGCCTTGGAGTGAAAGTATCATCGCACTTCTCCAGTCTTTCGCTTTTCTCAGGATGCACCTGAGCTGCAACTCTTCTCACACATAACCCTGCGACGTTTCGAGGTCGACCAGATTGCTCAGTCGTTGCCCACCATGTATCCCACCGTCAGCCAGCTTTTTTAGTCAAGTCGTCGTCATGAACCATACACACGGATCGATAACAGGTGACTGGAAATGATATAGTTGCCAATATCTGTAATGATATCGAATGTCTGATGTCTGCAGCTTTCTCAACGTCAAGTCATTCTGCCAAGATGATACTATATAAAGAGTATATACATACGAGGATAGTAGCGGACTATCCACGGATATATCGATTTGTTATGAAATGGCGGTTGTCTTATCTCTGACAGCAGCTGAGGGCTCCCTCTATCCCGCCTCTTATCCTGGCTGGCCCCAACGGAACTGCGGCAAATGGGTCGAAGGTTTGATCAGCGCTTGCATACTTGTCCTTTACGCCAATTACTTAAGTCAAAGGGTCATACTATCCCTCCAGTCCTTGAAAAGCCTACAAACACAGCTAAGTGTGCTCGATTCGGGCAAAGCTTTGCCTTACCAACGCCCTGGCCAACAGCCCTGGCACAGCTCTCGACCTACGAGCACTCGGACATAGTTGGTCACAAGGGCGGATGTGCGGAAAAGATCAAAGTGCACAGATATCCCACGCAAGTTGACCACTCATGCCCTTGCACAAACTTCTGCCGGATCAAAAAGGAACGAGCAGATGATCCAATCATGCCCCCTTGATGCCCCCCAAGTTTCGCCTCACTCCGTCTGCAACCTATTTTCCTGCCTAAACCTCAACGAGCATGTCGATGCGTTGGACCCCGTGACCCTCCCCTCTCGCTCATGTCCTTTGTCCTCCACTCACTGATACCAGGGTGGAGCTGATACAAAGCACCGTACATGGTGCAGAGAGTGGCAGCCGAAGGAGAAGGAGAACCTGGACACCCGCCACTGCTGATGTGAAGGCTTTGGCTGCATTCCGGCGGACAATAGCGTGGGGATCGAGTCAACAGCAATCCAACGAGTCCGTGGGTTGCTGACTGAATTACGTCGGCTTCAAACCATGTCGTCCCACGAATACAAGCACTCATCCAACTCTGTCCTACCCTGGCGATTGCGATTGGCTTCTCACCACATCGTTTCCGCCAAGTGGCACCCAGGAACCTTGCCTCGCGTCTCCCCATCTTTGACAGGTTGATAAACTCCCGCCCGCCTTCCCAGCATATAGGAGACACCTCCGCCCTTCTTCTGCTCTACTCCCAGCCTCGAGGCCTCGTACAAGATCACTGAATTGTCGATTTTCGACATATCAGCTGCCTGTGTCGCGACCTTGAAGATTCCACAGCCGCTTGCACAGCTCCCACGCTCGATACTCAAGTTCAACCGTCGAACCGTCGTGCCACACATCCAACCGCCTTCTGTGCAACCCGCGAGCTCAAAACGAACTATCTATACTGCCCTCCTAGCTCTTTGTCTCTGCATTGCTTCTTGCAAAGTTTAACCCCTCAGACGTATCGTACGCTGATGTCGGTTGATATACGCAAATCTTGCCCTAGCCTCCGCTTCCCATTTAGAAGCGACACTGTCTCTACTGCTCAGCTCTGTTCCGAGCATACGGGCCATTCTACAAGACCCCTTGATCGAGGTTGATCAAAGAGTAGGTTGACCGACTATGTTTGACCTTTCGACTAAAGCCAAAGAAAGGACCCCAAAGAAGAGAAGAGTCCAAACAACTAGAAGCTGCTAAACCCAAACCCTTCCAGTATGGCTCTTCCCAGTGCCGCCGTCCCCATGCTTGACGCTGCAATCGTTCGCGAGAAACCAAGCCCGACCGCCGTTGCAAAGGCCGCCCCAACCGCCCCAAACCCGGATCAAGTCCGTGTTGTCGCTCCGCACGAGTACAAACATGCTGCCGCATGCTTGGCCGAGGCGTTTCGCCTTGACAAGATTGTTCGCTACGCCATCGACACTCCGGATCGCATGGATATGACGGAAGAGGAGCGCTTCGAATTGCACAAAGCCTCCATGGAGTACGTCACCTATGCTCATTGTCTCCAGGGACTGGTCTTGACGGTTGGTGAGAACTTTGATTGCGTTGCTTTGTGGCTGCCACCGGGTAAGAACATCGACGACTGGTTCACCATCCTCCGCAGTGGCATGTGGCGACTGAGCTGGAAGCTTTCCAAGGAGGGCAAGGCGAGATTCTTCGATGAGTTCCTGCCCCTGTTGCATCATACTAAGCAGGAAATCTTGGGAGAAAGGGACAACAACTCCTGGTATTTGAACTATATCGGTACCAAGCCGGCAGCACGTGGTCGTGGTTATGCCCGAAAGCTGATTGAATATGTCACCAAGATGGTAACGTGGCGCTCACTAGAGATTGATTTTGCTGGTTGACAGGCTAACGGAGACAGGCCGATGCTGACGGGATCCCGTGCTACCTGGAGAGTTCACACGATATCAACATCATCATCTACGGCAAGTTGGGCTTTGAGCTGCGCAAGCACATCTATTTGCAACGCGCTGCGGGTATGGAGCTGAGGATGGATGTCATGGTTAGGGAGCCGGTGGATCCGGAAAAGAAGGATGAGAATGGCAACATCGGGCAGTGAAGTTGGGCTGAGGATGAAGGGGTTCTTGGTGCAAAGAGCATAGCGGCCTCATCGCAGGACTGCTGGAGCCAAAGGGGGAAATGAATGCTTGGGAATCGTGAGACGCAAGATGGGAATAACATGGGGTTATCCAACTATTGCTACACTCGTTTAGACACACAAGATGCAATATCTGCTCTCTCACTTGCGCACTTCACTGCTCTCCATTCTTTGTTTAGTGATCAGTAGGCGAGAAGGTGGTAAGGCTGAGGAGATAGCCTTGTGTATGTGTACCACAACAAAGCCGCAAGGCTGAGGCGGAGCCTTGGGAACACGTCACTCAAACTGCGGGTTCTCAAAACTCCTTTCATTGTCAACACACAACAAACAGTCCACATTAGTCGCATTCGCATTGTAACTATACAGAGTGGCTTCATTTATCTTTTGTACATTATAGATCCATGAGACTGCATCCTTGAAGATTCATTACCCCAATCCCACGCCGCCGCAACCATGGAGTCGACCACTTCGAGATGATCACCCGTCAACGACGTTGGACTCGACCGCCTGGGTGATTGCACGCCAACGCAGCTCCTTCGTCTAGTACCGAGACACCTTTCTTCTCGTCCTCCTTTTCCTCCCATGCCCAGCTACTCAAGTCCTTCCTCCTCACCTCCCCCCACTCCGTCACGCCGTCGAATCCGCTCATGCGCCCGGACATGCGAGCGTACCTGCTGCGCCATCGCCACCTTCTTTCCGCTAGCTTTTGTGTATAGTATAACAACATGGGCAGTATGGGTGGTGGCATCGATCGGCTTCGGATCTCACAAATCAAAACATGTCTGGTGGTTGACACAAGCCATCTCGTCGCTGGGGATCATCCTCTACACGCTGGCCAATTGGTCATACACGGTTGCCGCCTTTACGGATCCCGGTTCACCTCTGAAGTCTCCCGACAAGTCATCAGATCGAAGTCAAGGGAGATACTCGATGCTCCCAACTCACGAGCCTCCCACCGATGCGGGTCAGTTGCAGAGTATCACCGTTTCCTCCACAGGAGCGCCTAGATTCTGCAAAAAGTGCCATACCCCTAAGCCGGACCGGACACATCACTGCTCTACTTGCAAGAGATGTGTCTTAAAGATGGATCATCACTGCCCTTGGCTGTCAACCTGTCTCGGATTGCGGAACTACAAAGCATTTGTGCTCTTCCTCATCTACACATCTCTGTTCTGCTGGGTCTGCTTTGTCAATGCTGCATGGTGGATGTGGAAAGAACTTTTCGAGCAAAGTGGCTATCTGGACGAAGTGGCACCCATCAATATTATCCTTCTTTCTGTGATTGCCGGTATCATCGGCCTGGTCCTGAGTGCGTTCACTGGCTGGCATATACATCTCTGCATCAAGGGCCAAACTACCATTGAGAGACTCGAGAAGACGAGATACCTGAGTGGTGTGAGGACTCTTGTGGAGCGGAATCGCCAGGAGCATCAGTTGAATCACAGCAGACGCAGCTCCGAAGGCGTTGCAGGTAGACTACAGCGCGCGGGGGAGCAGTTTCTTGAGTGGAATGCCAATGCTGTTCCCGGGGCTTCACGGTACGAAGAAGGCGAAGAACACACCTCACCCGTCCCAAGTGTCCGTAACACGACACAGCGTGATGCCCCGTATCCTCAAGGTTCAGATCAGTCGGCCAATCATCGTCCTCAACGACCCGACGTGTTCGACGACACCCCAGCCGTTCGTGCATTGCGAAATACTTATTCCCACATGGAGGCCGTTCGCGAGCGCGAGAGATACTCACAATACCTGGATGACCAGGAATCCGAAAAAATGCCCAATGCATTCGATCTTGGCTGGCGTCAGAATCTTAACCACTTGTTCGGACCGAATCGGTTTCTCTGGGCTTTTCCAATATGTAACACCACAGGTGATGGCTGGCGTTGGGAAGTCAGCCCGAAATGGGTTGCGGCGCAAGAAGAAGCGGCGAGGAAAAAAGAGCAGAGGCTCGCGGCAATGATGGATCATGATCACTATGCAGGACCGATAAATGGAAGAGGCGGTCGTGGCTATGGGTATCAAGAGTACGAGAGCGACCGGGACCGCGATTACGTCGTCAACTTTGATGGACCCCACGAGAACACTGTCCCACGGCATGCTGACGAGGATATGTACTCCCGCAGCGCCATGTCCATGAAGAATTTGCCTCCAAATCACAAGAGTGCGTCCTCCACGGCAGATCTGAGCAAGAGGAGACAGCGGAGGGATTTTGACCAGGACGAACCTTTTGAGGTCAGCAGCGGCGACGACTACGACAGCGACTCAGATATTGGATATGACAATAGAGACGACCAAGACGATGCAGAGCGAGGCTGGACCAGGAGAAACCGTGCAGGACGAGGAAGATGATTGTTCGACGATTTCATCTTGTGTATCTTGTGCATATCTATTGGGACTACCTGGTTGGGGGCCCACAACGGGTCCTTTGGATAAATACGAGTACAGACGACTCCTCGCGGGTCTACACGGGACGGCTCAGGCACGGGCTTTATGTTATTATGCGGTCGCTCATGAGCGCAATGCAGGACTCTGGAGTGTTGAATATGGGATTGGATTGGATTGAACCGGATTGGATCACATGGGAACGGAATGCAATGGGATGGGATGGTATTGTATTTTGGGTACCCAACAGACTTAGCTAGCTGTTCAAAGCCACAAAGGCGAGAATGAAAGGAAGGGGCCTGCTACATTGCTCTAACCCCCTCAGTTCTGTATTGTACGTGTACTTGTACTTCTGCTTGTGCCTGTACTTGTAGTTGTACTCGCACCTGTCTATCAGTAGCCAATCCTAGGTACTTTACCTGAATATGCAGGAAGTTGTCTTGCAATTGGTTTCCAGAGCTAACAGCCGAAGAAGACAAGAGCAAAAATCTATCTCCTTAGCAGCTGAAGTGGATCTATATTTTACACATACTCCGAACTGTGCTTCGTCCATTACCGTTTTCGTTCAGGAAACAGAGCGAGGCTGCTTTAATCGGGCACGTGACGCTGCATTGAGGAGGCCCGGGCCGAGTCCGGGAGAGCCGTTTTGGGAGCCACGGCAGAGTAACGGGGGAGCGCTCCCGAGTACTGGGGGAGCCACGGTGAGTGTTGCCTAATGCCCATTGCCCATTTGCAGACGCCAGTTCCGACTCAGGTAGAAAGTTGCGGAGTACGAGGTAGTAATAGAGTGTTCAAATGTGCCTGTTTTGGTGTAAAAGTGGTGGTTTGATGCCAAGCCGGCAACCAACTTGACCAGTGAGTGAGGTGATGGTGAGGAGCTGGGGGTGAACGTGAGTAGAGGTGGGGGAGGAAATTGGCTATAAACAGGGGGCGGGCCAGACATGTCTGCCCTTTGTCTGATTCAATCTAAGAAAGTCACTTTGGAGATTCCATGTGCTCGGACATCTTCTCTCACACACGCGCCCGTGGGGTAGGGTAAAACTGCGAGGCTTCCCCCCCTACAACATGGCAGCGTTGCCCAAGATCGCCTGACTACTCATTTCCACCAACGCTCCCGGTACCAGCAGCTGTTTGACCACGACAGCCGTGACCAAGGGCCGGTTCGTGCCGCAGAAATCGTCCATACACTTCATGTACGCCTCCGTTTGGCTTTGATCGTTTGCGGCATCTCCAGAAATGTACAACGTCGCCGAAAAGACCGCGCGCCAGCCAGCCGTCACTCCGGCCGCGTGGAGAGCTTTCTCCGTGTTGACAAAAGCCAATCGGAGTTGCTTGGCAGCGTCGTCGGGGTAGGAGCCATCGTTTTCACGACCAAGTTGCCCCACAATATGTACAACTTGGCCATTGACCGGGAGGACAGCGGCGTTGGAGAGATGCAATTGCTCCGCGATTTCTGTTTGCGGGCCAGCGGGGTTGAAGTAGCGGACGCCGTATTGATTGATGGGACATTTGTATTCGTTCGACATTTTCCTCTGCCGTGTCTTTTGGGACGCAGGATTTGTTTCACCGATGGGGGGGAGACGTTCGAGGATGCTTAGGGTGTCGGCGTGTTGGAAGGGGGGTTTCATATGAGGAGCCAGGACATAGGGAGGGCAAAGAGTCTCACCTTTTTGTATCCGCCGGGGATTGATGCTTGCATCAGCCCAAAAACTATACTCGGAGCAACAACACGCCGTCTGTCCCCCTTCCCCTTCTCTCTTAAAATCGTCCCACGGTCGGTGTGAGTTACCTCAATGAAGAATAAAAAAAAAATTGACTTGTGCCTCTTTCGTGTCTTGTGCTATTGACTTTACGATGGAGCAGTGGGGTTCAACATTGGGCTTACGGTCTGACCAAGTGGTGTGTTGCTCTCCAGAGGGATGGCCGCCCCGGTTCTCTGGAGAGCCAATGCAGTAGCGATTGGCCGCATTCATGATAAAAGAACAAGGTGTGATGTACATTATTAAGCTCGATGCCCCCGCCTCGTGAATCGCTATGAATTACCCGTTTTGCGAAGAGTCACGCCCGAAGCGATCGTTAAGTACGCTTCTTCTTCGCCTTTTACATACCAAATCCTCTTGGCTTTGGAAGGGCGCGAGAGATGTTCGTTCCCGTGGATCGCGCCAGGCTCCCTCCTGGCTGGCCAGCAGGGGAGCGAGAGAGGGCAAGGATACAATACGAGACAGGTGAAGAATGAGGCTCGAAAACCGAAAGAATGATCCTACTTGGATGTTCCAGATTGAAAAGCAAGGATGGCAACTTATAGAGAGGGCCTGCTAGATCGGGCCAACTTTGGGTGACGAGGTGGCGACCGGAGGTCTCGTTCCACTGCTCTGGCAGCAATGATCCCACCCTCGATGGCGCCGTCAATGAATCCTCTCCACCCATCGGAATAATCACCGCTAGCGAACTTGACGTTTCCCACTGGCTCTTGCAATGCTTCGAGATACTTGGACATGTAGTCTGGTTGGAAGACGCACCAGCCACCGTTGGAGAATGGACTGCCGGTGTAGTCGGCGAAGACCTACGAAGTTGGAATTAGCAAACATAACTTTTCGCGAATGCTTGGGCATGCTGCGTATACAATGAGACAAGCACAAACGGATGAGGACGCCGCCGGTTGTTTCTGTTGGGGTCGTCATAATTCGGAGGCAGATAGGTGCATTCAGGAGGACACTCACAAAGCGTTTGACCTTCATATCTGGATGGAGTCCCTCGAAGTACTTGACCAGCTCCTTGGCTTTGATTCTCGGGTCACCAATGTTTGCCCCATCATGGAAGGCGACCAGATTCGTGTCCTTCCCGGAGGGTGAGTGGGACTCGCCCATCACCATTACCAACTCTTCCTCGGCGAATTTGGCACCCGCCCACGACTTCCATTGTTTTCCCCCAACCTGGACGTGAAGCTTCCTGATGGGGTTAGACTTGGCCTTCGCAATTGCTTCGGCCTTCAGTGGAGGGAGCTCCGGGAAGAAGCTGACGGATCTCAACACGGTGAGCGGGATGGTGCAGACCACCTGACGGGCGCTGAACATGCGGCCGTCGGCGCAAGTCACGGTCGCCCTCCGCGGATCCGAGCTGTTGATGGCCTTGAGGGAATTGGAAAAGCTGTACGAGAGCTTTCCCGTCGAGCAAGCATCGTCAAAGATGCACCTTGCAAGTCCGGTTTGCCCACATTTGAGTTTGTACCTGGCCATGTGGTTCATGTACTCCTCCTGCGTCGTCCCGCACAACAGCCATCTCTGCACGATGTCAAACAGGCTGATTTGAGCAAAGTCGATACCCGCCAGGGCACCGAGGTTCGCCTTCGTGAAGGCCATCTCCTCTTCGGACAGGACGCCGTCGAGTTGGTCTAGTCGGTCCTGAACCGACATTCGATCATACTTGACATAATTTGCACGATTATAGCTCGGATTGTGCGGGTAGGGAAGCCATTCAGTCGGATGTTTACCATCGATTGCGAGAAACGTGGCGGCCGACTTCTCTTGCATAGCAGTCTGGATGTGGAAAATGGATTAGCCTCTTGTCTGGCATCAACGTTGACGATGCAACGGCAGCCTTACTATTTCTGCCAGCGACCAATCTTTCCGGGAGCCCCCCGTGTAGGTTGATTGTGGCGCTGACTCCGGGTACATTTCCAGAGAATCCTTGATTTGGTTGTTCAGTCCATATCGTGTAACTTCAGTCCACAAATGAGGCTGGTGCCAGTGGATCCAGGTGCCGCCCATCTCATAAGCATGCCCGTCGGTGTATGATGTCCATGTGCGGCCTCCAATGCGGTCCCGGCCTTCGATAAGAAGGACTTTGCGTCCTAGAGACACTGTCAGCGTGGTCCTGGAAGAAGGAGAAAGGCATATACCCTGAGATGTAAGGTCTCGGGCTGTAATGAGGCCCGCATAACCTGCTCCTATGACGATGACATCGTAGGTCTCAGCCGTACTCGCATTCAGTTCATGAGGGTTTATGACCGCAGGGGTTGGCAAGCCCGCCTTTAGTCCCTCCGTTGGAGTATATTCGAAGCCTTCTGCACTGGACAACATGGCGGGGAGTAATCAATGAGGAGCACAGCTGAAGGCAAACTGTCCGCCTGTCCGCATCCTTATATCCTTGTCACAACTTGAGACAAAGCCACACATAGCCAACAGCTGACATTGCGTACGCCGATACGTACGAGTCCTCCGGCGCAAATCAAGCATAATTCAGTACACCGTGCTCAACGTGTGGCTCATTGGAGTTGAAAGTGAACTCAAGCCTACGCTAAATAAGCCTTCTTTGATCCTCTGCAGAATAGCTCGCTGTGAACATCCAATTCCGGGTCTGCTCTGTCCCCCTCAATTTGCCTCTAGCTGAATCAAGTAACTGGTCGTCTAGAACACAAGGCTCCCTGTGAAGAGAAAAGGACCTTGTTACACAGGCCTCGGATGAAACCGCGAACCATCATCCCAGGACCAGGACGGAGGTCGTGAAAACACGTACCTTGGCGATGACCCATTTATAGAGGAAGCATCCGGGAAATAAAAACCACCATCGATGTATTTTTGAGCTTCGGACTAAGCAGGTTTGAAAATTTCCAGCCTAGACCAACTAATTAGTGTTCCCATCTCGACACAGAGAGATGTTGAGAGGTTTGGACATCCTCAGGTCTACATAGTCACCGCCCCCCCTCTTTCCCTCCCGGAGAAGCAGTGATAGTTTCACGAAATTGATTCACTGCATTCATGCATGACGGATCTGCTCCCCGTGGTCCACAACCTCGGTAAGGTAGGCATCTTCCATGTATCCTGGGAGATACTTTGCAGGATCGTCCGCGATCAGGAACTTCGGATTCTTGAAATCAACCCATCCTAGACTCGGATGGCTCAATCCAAATCCGGCCAGGCGCTGAATCTCAGGATCATACCGTTTGATGTGTTCGAGTGTGTTGGCCA